ATTTTACTGTAATTTAATTAGTTTAATATGCTTTTTTGTTTTGTCTTACTATGTATATTGAGGGTCCCTAATGATCAGCTTCGGCTGGATGGACCACCCTCATTAAAGATTGTTGAAATAAATAAAATAAATAAAAAATTCATTCCACACTTGTCCGAGCTCACAGCAAATTTGCGTGAACTACTGAAAGAGGACGTAGAATATGTGTGGTCACAATCACATGAGAAGAGTTTCAGAGACCTAAAAAGTTTGGTGTGTAAGAAAACAAGTCTAAACTACTACAACCAACGAAAGGCTGTAACTCTGCAAGTGGACGCATCTATAAAAGGACTTGGAGCCGCACTAATACAGGAAGGTCGACAAATAGCATTCGCCTCGAAAGCATTAACGCTTGCTGAGTCTCGGTATGCAAACATAGAAAGGGAGCTGTTGGCAGTGGTATATGGGTGTGGAAAATTTTACACATACTTGTATGGAAGGAAATTTACAATCGAAAGTGATCATCGTCCACTGGAACAAATCCACAAGAAAAACCTACACAAAGCACCAGCAAGACTCCAACGACTACTGCTGAGACTCCAAACCTACGACTTTGAGCTAAAATATAAGCCAGGTAAACAAATGGTACTCGCTAATGGCCTATCTCGAATAACCAAAATGGAGGATAATCAACTTGATGACATGGAAATAAAGATTCATCTTTTGATTAATATCAAGCCAATCAAACTAAACCAAATACGTGAGGAAACAGTTAAAGATGAAGAATTGGTAATGCTTTCCCAACAAGTAATAAATGGTTGGCCTAAGAAGATAAAACAACTCCAGATACAACTCCGTCCATATTAGTCGATTAAGCAAGATATTGGAGTAGAAGATGGTGTACTGTTAGCAGGATCACGAATAATTATACCAAAGTCCATGCAGAGTGAGTTGCTCAGAATTATTCATCAGAGTCACCAAGCATGGAAAAATGTAAAACTAGATCAAAATCAGCGGTATACTGGATTGGAATGTACAAAGACATCGAAAAGACTGTCAGCATGTCAAACATGCCAGAAATACCAGAAATCCCAGCAGAAAGAAAAGATAATCCCAACACAGATGCCACCCCGACCTTGGCACACTGTAGGAGCAGATTTTTCACATACAATCAGCAATGGTACTTGATCGTAGCCGACTACTATTCAAAGTTTCCATTCATAAGAAAGCTGAAAGATCTGAGATCTGCTACAATCACTGCAATTACAAAATTACTATTTGCAGAGCAGGGAATACCTGAAAATTTCATATGCGACAATGGATCTCAAATCACTTCAAATGAATTTAGACGTTTTGCAGATGAATATGGATTTGAAATTGTAACATCGTCACCACATTACCCGAGAGGACATGGATTCATCGAGAGACATGTTCAGGCGATAAAGAAAACCCTTATAAAATGTAAAGAAACTGGTGATGATCCAAACTTACCCCTTCTAGCAATCAGAACAACACCAATCAAAGATAACTCAAAGTCACCTGCTGAGTTATTAAATGGAAGGAAGTATAAGACAACCTTACCAAGCAAAATACATGCTTCACCAGACCATGAAGAATCTCAACAAACATGGAATAGAAATATGGAGAGAGTGAACAAGTATTACAAGAAACATGCAAACTACCAGAACTCCTATGAAGGCAGAATATTCATGTTCAAGTTCCTTTGCGCAAGACATGGAACCAAGGACGAGTAATCAGCACAGCTGATACACCCAGATCGTACATTATTGAAACCCCAGATGGTCGTCAACTAAGAAGAAACAGAATTCACATTCGACCTACACAAAATATTAGAATTCAAAACCAAACACCATGTGCGACAAATATGAGACCATCAATACAACCCAGAAGGATAGAAACTGAACGTAATCAAACCACACCACCAATGGCAACGATTAGAACTGACACATCGGAAAGCCATGGAAACACAGGAACAACAACAACGCATAAACAGAGGATCAGCCCAGCACAAAACAAAAGTCAATCAACCAAATCTACAAGGACAAGACACAACATTAAGCCACCCTCCAGATACAGATGAATAGCAAGCTATATATATATATAAATGAACAATGAATGTAATTCCTGATTTTAATTAAATTGAGCGATTGATAAGCGATGGACACTGAAATTGTTGTTAAATTGAATCAGATTGATAAATGAACATTCTGATATTGATTTTAAAATATGAACACTGACTAATTCATTGGAAATGGTTAATGAATGTTATGAACATGTGATTACTAATGAACATTGTGTTTTACTAGTGTTTTGAAGTTAAAGTTTAAATAAATAAATACATAAAATAGAGAAAAGAGAGAAATGATTATAGGTAGAAAAAATTGTATTTTGAAAAAAAACCAATAATAATGACCACGAAACAAATGTATGCTGAATTGATAATTTAATACCAGTTAATCACATAGACAGCAAATACAAACTATAGTTGAAATTAGATTTAACGTTGATTTAAAGTTAATGTTTTATAAAGTTAAAAGAGTACAGTACTGCAATACCATAATTGTCAGTTTAATCACCTTAAAACCTGCAGTACTGTATAGAGAAATATAAAAGCTTTTTAATTTAGAAAGAGGGATGTTGCATAGTTACGCATCACGCACACGATCATTATAATTATATGCACCGCCACACAGTGATATGAGCAGACAGGACGCTACACTCTAGACATGAATAAAGTACGGTACTCGCGCGAATAAGCGCCCGGGCGCTTAAAATATTTGTTGCACCTTCTACGGGGCGCGTATTTAAACGGGGCGCTTATGAAAACTGAGTGGAAGTTATAGAAATAGATGAAAATCGAGGGGTTCTTATGGGAAATTATTTTAATAATTAAAAATTCAAGAGGCACTTTTTAAATGAAAAAAAAAAGATTATATATGGACATTACGAATGGTGGTTAGAAAAGATAATCGTCCAGAGAACATGGCTCATAACAAGAATGCGTGAATATTTACATATCAGCAAAATAGCAGATGCAATTATTGGTGGGTAGTGGTTAGCTTGTTGGCCATCGGCCGATTGAGATTAGCAGGATGGCAGGATCATTGTATTTTTCTTGAAAACTCAGATGAGAATGTGCTTATAAGCAGGGTTGCCATTTGGCCTTTTTGACGGCCAGATTCCTCAAATCTGGCCTTATAACAATTTGCCTGGCCGTAACGTTTGAAAAGTCACGGCCAAACTATATTTGGCCGAATTTGGCCGAATTTTTGAATTTACATTTTTTTTTCATTACAGGCCTAATATAACAGACTTGTTTTGGATATGTTGTTTTTGTTAGCTTAAATTCTATATTTGATTCTAATCACAGTGGCGGATCCAGAGGGTTAGGGAGGGGGGTTCGTCCCCCCCCCCCCCCCGTGAAGAAACGTAACAAAACACTATGGGGCCTGGCTTACAAAATTCATGCTAACTAGACGCGGATCCAGACATTCGCCCACTTCGCCCAAGCGAAGGTCAGGGTGAGAATTCAAAATAAAATGTTGACCATTTTTTCCAACAATCATACTTACTTTCCTTGACACTTATTTTGAACACTACCATTAGAAAAATGTTTAAAAATCCACACTATCCTATACCTTACACTTTTAAACTGATTGTACTGTAGGCCCTACCAGAGGGAGAGGTACATTCCCAATACATTATGATCTTCCACTTCCATAGCACATGATAGAGTGCATAGCAAACGTTATGTAACCACTAATAATACTCAGGTCCAGTGGCGTAGGTATGGGCAGTGCAGTCAGTGCAGAGCACTGGGGCCAGGGGCTATTGGGGGCTCATTCAATAGGTATAATGATCTAAAAATTTAACTTTAAAAAATCCTATTCAAACTTTAAAAGGACCCTTTAATAATATTAGGTTTTAGAGGCTATAGTTATTGATTATATTCATTACAATTTACCTATTAGGCCTACCTATTTCCCAAACGCTGCAAGTAAAAAAAAACAACAATACAAGCCCTTACGTATACGATGGACTAATATACCTTTTGAAAGCACATTTCTAAAGCAATACAATATCGTCACGCACATTTTGTGTTTGTGGTACAGTATTTTAAAGTTGGTTTTTAAACACTTCAGATCATCATAACTTCATGAATACATTTTAGATTCACTTCACTGCAAGTAGGTCGATGACTGTTCTATTATTGAATGGTAATTGTTATTATCGTGATGGAATATACAATACCTG